ATCTTTTCCTTACTGACTGTACTAACAGGCTTAGTAAAACAGGATCGACTTTTAAAAAACCGTTGTGCTATTGACTTGGGAAATGTTGTCATTAAGCGCCTACACTATGCACACGACCAACATCTTTTGCACGATCATGCAGAAAAAATTGATCGTGCGTAGGGTTGAAAGGTAGAACAACCACTTTTGAAAAAGAAAAGAATGGCGACCGGAAGTGACGGGCTTATCAGAGGGAGCTATTAGCTGAAATGTTCTTAAAATGTGCTTTTGTCATGAGAAACTTTATTCTGTATTTTACCTTTCGCGATGGTTGATATATGACTGTGAAATTTTTCTGTGTTTGAAATGCTTTTAAAATTTGATTCATTGATTTACATAGGGAAATTTTAGAAATGAAATATGATGAAGCAGGACAGGTGATTATTATTTTCTCTCTCTTTTCAATATATCATTAAAATAGAACATTAGCAAGGTGATAAAAATTTTTTTATTGTTTTTGTCGAAAATTAAGAATATTTACGCGATTATTTAAAACTTCGAATAAGCTTAAGGCTTAATCATTGTGTTTAATTTTCAGATGAATTTAATATTATGTTCAAAGAATGTCAAATAAATTGAAATTTATTATCAATATACTATAGATGCTTTTAAGGACAAAATTTTTTGTTTGGATATTTTCTAAGTATTTAACTAAAGAATCCCAATTATATCTAACTCATTTGTTTTACGTATGATTTAATAAATTCTATAAATCAATATATTTAACATAAATAAATTCAGTAAAATTTCAATGGACATTTAGAATAGACATGTAGAGTAAGGTAAAAATTGTCATTTACAAAGTGTTGGAATATTTATTTTAACACTATTGAGATATAAAACCAATTTTTCCATTTACTTAAATATTTAATTTTACATCTATTTTAGATGTATTTTAGGTTGGCATATTCTTTATTATTACTTTCAAAAATGTATTGAAAAAGACTTTCGAATAAATTGTTGATAGATATTACCGAATTCTTCTAGAAGTTAATATTAATATGAATACGTAACGTAGAAAACAATGTGTAAATAAAATCATTATTTTCATAGATAGTAGAACAAACGGATAAATGGCTAAACGAAACTAATTACAAATTGCATTCATTTGTATGATTTACAAGATAATTACCAGTTCTAGCTTTCCGATTCAAATCTTGTTTATGTAAGTAATAAAATCAGCTGCTGAATTGCAGCATTGAAAAAAAATTGTGATCAAGGGTGGCAGTCACCCGTAACGTATCACCGAGGTCAAGTAACATTAATTGATGCACATTATAATAATGGACATCATGATGTACAATGAAAATACTTCGTTCTATTAATCATACCAACTTACACGGTGATGACTAAATCAAGCATGAATTACATTGTTGTGTACATATATTTCTATACAACAAGCAATAGATAGATTTCATGAAAATACCTTCATTCAATCGACACTATTACATTTAATCACGATACATACAGTCTTTATGTATTTCCACTGTTGATGTAATTAAATTGTTATTTACAGATTTGAAATATATGAATAAATAGACAACCTCTCATTACATCATCATTGTAAATTTTATATTTATAAATTTAGTTTGCAAATATAAATATATTAGAAATTGATATTTTCTACGCCCTATCGCATATAATTTTCTGTAGATTGTCAAAGTTTTAGACATATCTAAGTAGATCTGTAATAAATTTATTGTTTTACTTTAGAATCAGCCGTATAAATCAGCTAAACATTTGAATCTTTAAACGTAATGCCAATTACATAAATATAATTAATTATAATTATAAGAATTAATTACACATTATAATATAACTAATTTGGTCTATAAATTCGTAATCGTAGTTATAATAGTTAAACTAATAATCTTGTATATAGAAAGTATTCTATTTATTTTCTTTCCTTTTCATTATTGAACATAATTGTAAGGAGATTATTGAAGAAACAGTCAGCCTGAATACAATTTTCAATTGCAAACACTTAGTCATCAAGAAAACAAGTTGACGTCTAATTTATAAAGTTGAAGATGTAGATTCATCTTGAACAATTAAGCTTATTAAACTAAATTATGTTTATTTGCGGATGCGGATAAGGATTTTGATAAGCGGAAAAGGAAAGACAGTATTAAAACAGCTTATTTTTTTTGGTTTTTTGTCTTTTTTTTTAAGAACCCTTGATGATTGAGTATGAAATAGAAAGAAACGCGAAGTTTGAGAAGTTTTGAAAGAAAATATAAAATTTCTTTATAATATGTTGTACTATTTAGTAATAAAAGTAGTTCATATTAATACAAATAATAAAAATAAATGCGTTCGGTATTAAGGCATCAGTACTGAATTTTTTTGTCAACGTATCAAAATATTATACAACAATGCATTAAATCAATTTTTAATATGTTTTTAAAATTGATTTATTTAAAAAAATTTAATAACTCAACTAACATCTTAAAAAAACATGTTTTAAAATGTTGAGTGTACTTTTAATATTCGGATAATTGTTAAATTTTTATTTAAATAAATCATATTAAATTTGCGATGTTGTATGTTTTACTTTTATTGTTATACAATATGAAGTTGTTCCCTGCTATCGTTTATATTATATGTTATGATTACATTTACAAAAGCGTAACGAAAATAGTCTTACAAGTCAATTACAATTTTTTTTTACTAATATTAATTGTTTAAGCTAATTCACAAATAAAAATGACTAAACAACCAATAGAATTAATAAAGGATATTAATTATATTTTACGAATTGCTGAATTTGTAAGTAATTATACAATGTTAATAATAAATATTAAAAGTAAATTTTTATTAACTATAATATTTTTGAGGTTACCTGTTTATTAATAATAATATTATCGCGATGCGATTATAATATTTACCGAATGTGGGCCGTACATGGATGGCTTTTAATTTCGTCAGTTTATATAATTGGCTATGTGTTTGAAGATCCAAATATTTGGCTGGTATTTGTTTACTTTTTTACTTACTTTTATTATTTACTTTTTTTTTTTTTATTCTTACGTAATATGATAAATTTATCAATAATGTGAAATTGTCTATACATATTAATATATATTAATTTCAGGAATTCATTTTTCTAGTATTGTATTTCGTTATTATAATATTTGGTATATTTACAAGCTTAAATTATTATTGCATCATTCATATTACTTTTGGTACGCATATCATTAATTTTGTACTTTATTTTAATTTACAAAAATCTAAGTCTTTCCTGGTTTCAGCAGCAGCTCTACTCGCTACGGATATTGTACTTCTTATAATTGATAAACGAAATAAATAAATTTACTTGTTTTAAGAAAATGTATTTTTCATTTCAACATATTTATATAAGTAATGATATAATATTTATTTATTAATAACTATGAAAACATAAAGTCATTACGAGTATTGTAGCGATTTGTAGACTAACGATGTCTATTAACCATTCTTCATGTCTAAAATAATATCACATACGAGGCAAATCATTGATACTAAATGAAAATAATATTTATTACATATAAGCTTATTTAGAATTAAACATATAAATGTATATATGGAATAAATTTTAACAAACCTGTATTTAGAATTATAAATAGGTATCGTTCTATCAGTTCCGATTGCGGATCTAAAATAATGAAATATAAAAAATTTATATTCATTCAACAGCTTTGACGTTAAGTTGAAAATTAATTGAATTGAATGTATATGTATTTTCAATATTTTTTTATAACACTTAAATTATTAAATATATATTTCAAGGTCAAATTTACCAGTTGCATTCTGTTCGTTTCGTGACACTCCGAGCTTGTTCTGATTTATTTCTATATATGTTGTTGTTGCTAAGAAAAGTTTTACTAGGCTAATTATGAGTAAACCCATTTCCTTAAAAAATCGTTATATATTATTAGGTTAAAAAAACATTGAGAATTTATTTTATATGGAATTTCTCAATTTTTTTATTTATGCCGATAATTTTATAACATGCTAATAAATATATACTATTCATTATAAATATTTATAAAAGAAAGATTATAAAGAAGAAAGATACATAAATAATTATTAAGTTCAGTGTTATTTTAAGGTTAAAAAAATGTTGATATAAAAATACTAGAATATTAAAGAATAATGAGGTATGTATACTAACGATGATAAGTGTTTTTGTAAAGAAAATACATTCAATAAGGAGTCCAATTATAACGCTAAGAAAGGATTGATAATATGCACTGACAAATATTGTATCAGATAGTTGAGTTACGCTAACGACTGTAATGCTCATTATCTGCAAAGTACATACATTTTTTAGTTTATAAACATATATTAAAATTATGGTAAATTCTTGATAAATTAATTACCGAAACTATAAGCCTTAATACAAAATTTGGGTCTTGCAATATTTCCATGGAGGATCTAGTCATTTTGATACTTGATGTTGCAATATATTTAGCTCAAAATAGAAATAAATATACTTATGACACGTAACTATTATGAAGTTGTCACCTTCCCGATTATATAAAACATCGAAATTGAAATTCATTCGTTATATACAAAAAATTCGAATAATAATTTTGAGAAATCATTTATTTATCATAATATTTAAATACATATTTTTCTATAATATAAAAATATGAAATATTGATTACTTTAAAATACAAATAGTAGCTTACTAATGTGTAATTATTCTACGTAGGTACGCTTTACAGTAAAATAAAAATAAAATATTCTACTTATGTAGATAGATATATAATAAATTATAAATTTTTCTATATCATCGAAAATTATTACAAATATAATCAACTTTTCATGGTAAAAAGTTTCGTAAAGTGTATATTGCTATATGATCGTGAATTATTTATAAATAAATAAATAACTGCGCATTTATGAATTGTCGTATATTTCTATCGATTTTACGTATGTAAAATGGATTCAATGAATGATATAAAATTTACAAAATGTAAAATTAAGTAAATTTTCTACGTAGTCTTTTATGAATTTAATTAAATTCTTCTTTGGCGAAGTGTAGAAAAGTTAGTATCAAATCAAGAAGATATGTTGCACCTTCTAAGACACACAAAGATCCAAGGGCCAAGCCAACCTGATAATGAAATATTAATCAGTTTCTACTATGACGTTGCATTTATTATTAGTTTATTTATATATTTGAAACATAATCATCACAGAGAATCATTAGTTTTCGTACTATTTTTTTGTTATGCTTATTACATTTTTTATTATCAAATTTAAGTCCTTGGACTGTTAAATTATATATTAATAACATCAATAATTTCATTCATCTAATAAAAATATTAATTTCCATATTAATACGAATTACGCCTAAATATTAATCTTATCTTATTTACATAAGTATTATGTAAAAACATGTAAGATAAAATAATTAATAGACTTTTTAATAATGAGATTAAGTGTTATGCAAATAGTTATATTTAAACACTTAAAATATTTTTATTTCAAACGGAGTAACTCACAAATATTAATGCATTATTATTGGTGTATTTACATTATTTATATTTTTTTAACTCGAAATATATATTATATTTTCATATTTCAATAATATGATTATATAATGTATGCAGAAATTTGAAAGAATTTTGTACGAAGATAAAATATCTTGAGCAATAATAAAGAAGATATTTGTCCAAGTAAAATTTTTGGAATTTTCATAATGAATCGTAATACATTAAAAAATATTTATTTTCTTTTAAGAGCTTAAAATTGTTTCTATAGTTATTAAAAATATTATAAAACATTTCAAACCACAGACCACAGCCTTACCTGTCTTTCACCTGCAACGTGTAAATACTTATGTTCACCCATGTATCCATGCCAATAATGAAGTGCCGTTCCTCCAACCGCTATGAACATGAACATCCCTATGAAGTTCATGATGATTTCCTAATATGTGCGTAAAATTTTATATCGTTATGGCGTATTATTTTTTATTCGTGGTATGGACTGCATAGTTTTTAAAAATTCAATTACCACAAGTGACTTCTTCTGGTCCATGTTTCCAAAACAAAAACTAACCAATACCACACTTGTGTAAATGAAAAATCCTACGAATACTCCAGATGCAACTATTTCAGCATCTGGATTTTTCTCTTCGTTTAAATTCCATGTCCCACCAACGCCCAGAAATTCTCCACCGTATCCAGTTCGATAGAGAATAATAATTATTAAATTTAGTACCTAAAACATATTAATGTTTCATTAACTGTGACTAGAAGCGAATAACTAAAACCTCTTCTGATTCTTCGACAAATAATAGACAAATTACATAGTTTCATATTGTATTACAAGGATTTTATTAATTATTTACATAATTTATATATTTAATTATTTATTTAAATTAAGTATTTCTTTAGATAACTTAAATTAACAATAATATAAAAAATTTCAGTTCTAAAAAGGATTTTATTATTTATAATGTAATAAAAATATTTACTTAAGAAATTTAATTTATTTATATTTTATATAAGAATATATTTATGTTAGAATTTCCGGTATTATTATCAAATATTTCCTTCATTGTACAAATATTGCATTTATCAAATGTTAAAGAAATTTAATGGGGTGGATAAATCATCTCCAATTAAAATTGTTTATTTTGAGAAACAATTACAAACATTTTTACTCCGTTTATATTGTTTGCCCTATATATTACACTATAATTATAATTGGCTAATAGTATGTGATATCTACATACCCTATCATTTATTATACAAAATTTCATATAAGTACAGGTAATCAAAATCATTAGTATATAACTTTTTACATAAATCTCTAATTTAGGAACATAAATTGAAGGACCTAAGTGCTTTAGCTATGTAAATATTTAAATTTATAAATAAATTCGGATCTCAAAATTTATTACATACTTAGTATGCTTAAAATTTGTTTTATTTATACTTAACATGTTAAGTAAAATATTTTGTTTATGCCATTATCAATTGTAAAAATGTCTAATATAAACATATGAGATTACAGTTATGATACGTGTATTACGTATGTGATTCATTGTTATGATGATGAAAATAGTTTCATTCAGCAAACATTGTGCTTATCGCTTAACTGATACACCTTATGAATCACGCCTTTCCTTAAAATAGTTAGTTTATAGGATTGTAGCTATAGCAATGAGAAAGAATGCGTTCAATTTTTGAACATTATATATGTTTCTTTAATGCATGGAATATTTCTAAAAATAATATTAAATAAATTCAGAATTTTACTGAAAGAATATTTAATCTTATATTATTTAAAATATTCAAAATATTTAGTGTTTTAGATAGGTATATATATAAAAATAGAGCTTAGTAGAATATAAATTTTACTAATAAATTAAGAAGTTATTTGAAATTTGTATCTAAAACTGGTAAAAAATAGTAAAATATAATCTTTCAAATGACATGAAAGTTCTAAATTTAATGTAAATTATTTAACATAAAAATCAATTATTTATTAGCACTAATCAATTTTTTTTAACTAATTACACATTTTTTAAATAAGTTTAAGTGAAAAAGTTAGTATTTTTTAATAATTATCAATTTAGTAGACGAGAAAAAAAAATTCGAACGAATATTAGTTAGAAAAGCTTGATCTCGGATTAATAAAAGGGAGAAAGAGAGAGAGAGAGAGAGAGAGAGTAAGAGTGAGTGAGTGAGTGATAAATAAATAGTAGAGTGCACAGTTTTTAAAAGACATATCGATATATCGTTTATATTGTTAACGGATTGTTAGATCGCACGGAATCACTTTAATAATTTATATGTTTATAATTGATTAGTCACTCACCAACTTTAGTGCTTTAATCACTATAGTACCGATAGTCTGCACAGATACCATTTTCGATATTCTTACGGTTTCGGGTACACTTTCGTACAGAAAAGTCGTGTAACAGATCGTATAAAGGTGTAAAACGAGAGATGTACAGCAGTGTTTAGCGTTGAGAACAAAATTACAGAATGACAAAACTTCCTAGCCATCCTTATCTAATCTGATAAGGAACGTTCAGCGGCGAGCGATAAATATTCGTGAGGCAATAACGGCAACACACCTGCGCTTGCGCTTTGTCTTTATCTCGAAAGGTTTGTGGCAGGTTGTAAGACTTACAAAGAAAATGAAGAGTGAGAAGGGCTGGGAGAAGAGCGACAGATAGATAGAGAGTAGGTCTAGGTTTTTAAGCACAACGTTTTGTTTCCGGATCCAACTTGACTTTTTTCCATCTGTGTAACTCTTTAAGATCTCAGAAATGCTAATGACGTGTCTTTTATTACATTGTTTTTTTTTTATTTCTAGTTGATGTTCTTCTACTTTGAAATGAAAGTTTATCGAGTTTGTATGTATGAATGGACGAAAAGAAACTATAATAAAAATTTAAACATTAAATTTAAACATTCGATCACTTTAAATTATTAATATATTATTTTTGTTTAACAAAAAAAATCTGTGATACTTAAATCTATTATATTTACTAAATGAGTATGATAAAATGAGTAATTTCTTTTTAATTTTGTTTTAGTTGAGAAAATTTATAATTTAAATTAGTTGGGATAACTCATAAGCAATATTGTCAAACAAATAATATCTTTTTTCAAATATTGATAATTCATTGTTTATATATATTTCATCAATAGATTGTTAATACATTTCAATCAATATTATATTTATGTCGTAACAAGTTTTTTCAAAAATATTTTCCTCAATTTCATACCATTAATTTTGATATAATGACGCAGAATATAAGTAAATACTAAAGAAATTTTCAAAATTGTATTAGTATTAACGAATTATGATCACAATTAAATTTCATTTTATGTATATAACATTATCAGTTAAAAGGCAATATTATCTTAAGTAGCTGATTAGATTTACAATTAATTTACAAAATTGCAGATTTCATAAATGAAAGAAGATGAATAAAATACCAACTTAGTTTACTATAATTACAAGAGATAATAATTATAGAGATTATGTAGATAGTAATTATAAGATTAATAATTACAGAGAAATTAAATGTATTATGTTTAAATTTATTGAATTAAAAATAATTCATAGATATATTATTATTTACAGTTTCACAGTATTGTTCATCATGTATTGTTACTAATGTTATTAATTTTTAAAAATATAAATGTATATTTTTATTACCACTATTGTATTTATTATGTAGTTGTTGTGTTATTTATTAAAATCTGCCGTTGCAATTAAAAATGATCATTCGCATTATTTGAATTATGTTGTTTATATTGAATTTATAAAGATAATGCGATGTTGCTTTCAAAATTTTATTTTATTTATCGGTTAAAATTGTAACAATAAAAATTCATAACGGTGTCAGCATAACTAAGACCATATTAATACAACAATTAAATATTCGTAATAATTTATTTTAATTTCGAAAGCTTATTTTTATTGTTTTATATCAGTTAATACCCTATTAATAAAAAAAATATTGTAATTAGATGATTCTACATACTAAAAAGTGTATTGAGAATTAATTTTGGGCATTAATTAAATTAACGTATATTTAAGAATAAACGTACTTTTTTTTTTAATGCGCCACTGAATTATATAAAGCACTGAATTATATAAAATTATAGATACGCTTAACAGTTTAATAAAATTTTCTTGTTTCATGTAGCAATTGGGATTGGCAATATCCGAGGAACAGATTCAAGAGATGGAGAAGCACGTGAATGAAATTGATTTTAATGCTGCTGCAGAAGAAGAAAAAATACGGCGACATGATGTTATGACGCACGTGCATATTTTCGGCAATCAATGTCCAAAAGCTGCGCCGATTATTCATCTCGGGGCAACGAGCTGTTATGTTGGAGATAATACTGTATTTATTTATTTCATGTATTTAATCTTGGACAATACTTTTGGATGTTGAAATTCTGTTTTATCGAGAAATATTCTTTTAAGAATTTTCGTTCTTTTGTTTTTAAAAATGTTAACTAAAATATTATTTGACATGCACTGGCGAGCTTTTCGTATGCAAAGTTTTATAAAAATATGTTTTGCAAACCTTGACAATACTTGAAAGCACGAGTCATTAAATTTAAAGTAAAACATTTAATTTATATGTATGTAGTATGCAAGTCGCGCATGGCATTAATAAATGTCACGCACGTGACATTATAAACTAAGCTCCTTACAAATTGCATTTTACAGATGTAATCTTATTTTGCAAATTATATTGTCCTCATAATTTTATGTTATTTCTGTTGTGCAGGATTTGATAAATTTGCGCGACGGATTTGACATTCTTCTGCCGAAGCTAGCATTTGTAATTAATCGTTTGGCTAAATTTAGTCTTGATAACCGGTTTGTTCCAACCCTTGGCTTCACTCATCTACAACCGGCACAATTAACAACGGTCGGTAAGAGAGCAACTTTATGGATACACGATCTTCTCATGGATGAGCGAGCCATCAGTCGAGCTAGAAATGATCTACTCTTCCGAGGAGTTAAAGGCACCACTGGTACTCAGGCCTCGTTCATGCAACTTTTCAATGGTCGGTAAACATGATGTTAATCATTTCGATCTATTATTCAATCGTTAAATATCTTTCAAATATATATGCATGTGTGTGTAAATTACAATATTAAGTAACTTTGGTAAAATTTAATAAAATTTAAGTTAATTTTCATTGTTGTAGGGGATGGAGAAAAAGTTAAGAAACTCGATAATTTAGTAACGAAAATGGCGGGTTTTGAGAAATGCTACTCGGTGACAGGACAAACTTATAGTAGAAAAGTTGATATCGAGTGCTTAAATGTTCTTAGTTCACTCGGCGCAACAGTGCATAAGGTCAGTTGCTTGATTTTTCAATTATATTTTAAAACAAACGATTATCTATTGGTATGCATTTATAGTATTTAGAAATTGAAGTGAAATTAAATTAAAGTTACCGCGACCTATGGCATTAGAAGTTGACTGCATTATATTGAATGACTTTGATATTGCAAGGATTGCATAAAACAAGAGCGATTCGTCAAAAATTTGTCGTATACATATAAAAATTTAATGCTAACTAAATTACAGATCGTAATTTATCAATGATAAAGCTAAACACAGATAACACAGACGTCATTCCAAGGGCTCCTCGACACATATATGAATTAATGTTCGATAGAGTCACTATTAAAAAATAAATTACATAAGTAATACGATAATGATATTTCATGGTATACGGATAACGGCAGTGACCAGTCAATTACTCCGATAATTCTGAAAATAATTATTAAACATTTCCAACTACGAACTACGCTCCTCTCTCATTTTCCAGATTTGCTCGGACATACGCATCCTCGCCAGCATGAAAGAGATCGAGGAGCCGTTCGAATCCACCCAGATCGGCTCATCCGCCATGCCTTACAAGCGCAATCCAATGCGCAGCGAGCGTTGCTGCAGCATCGCCCGACATCTCATGACCCTCGTCAACAACAGTCTCCAGACTGCGGCAAACCAGTGGTTGGAGCGTAGCCTCGACGACTCGGCCAACCGGCGCATCACCCTGGCCGAAGCCTATCTTTCCGCCGACACCGTACTTATGACATTGCAGAACATTACCGAGGGCCTCGTTGTCTATCCCAAGGTCATAGGAAGGCACATTGATCAGGAACTACCATTTCTGTCCGCGGAGAATATCATAATGGCGATAGTCAAGGCCGGGGGAGACCGACAGGTGACATTCATCGAACATCGATACTCTTGTTCGATTCAATATCGATCAAATAGATATTTTCAAGAACTTTGAATTATTTCTACTTCGGCGGAAACTCGTTTCCGGGGGTATTATTATCCTGTCTAGCTATTGTCCATTGAATATTTGTAAAATTGATTCGTTGACACAACGATCGAGCAGTCACGCGTATTAAGATTTTTATTTTGTACACTCTATACCCTTCGACCGAAGCAGCGTTCCTATCTTTTCTCTTCAAACGAATATTTATTTGATTCTAAAACGAGTATACGATAATTTCCGATCTTGTTAGCTATCCATTGTTTTTTTAACAAAACGCATAATTATTAATACCACGAATAATATATTATATTAAACGAATATATAGTATATACATTATACGAGTTGCTATCATTAGTAAATATGAAAGGAAATTTCATAATTTAAGAAAGACAATGACGAGTAATTAGGTTCAATATTATAATTAGCAATTTTTTTTTTTTTTATTAATAAGGTCCGTGTGTTTTAGGTGTGCCATGAAAAAATTCGAGTTCTTTCGCAAGAAGCGGGCGCTCAGGTAAAACAACATGGCAAAGATAATGATTTGATAGAGCGAATACGAAAGGACATTTACTTTAAGCCTATTATGGATAAACTTGATACGATTTTGGATTCTTCGACCTACGTTGGTAGAGCACCGGAACAAGTAATGGAGTTTCTCGATGAGGAAGTTTATCCGATATTACGAAAGTATGAAAACATAGAATATAAGCCAGTCGAATTAAGTATATAAATATATGAAATTTTTTAAAATCATATTTATATATTGTAAATTTCTTAAAATTCTGCTTCAACTTTTTTAACTAATGATATGGTGATATAAGAATGTAACAAAATAAAATATAATTTTTCTTTATGCTTTTTATTTGACAGTTTTTGCTTGTGTGATAGACAGGAGGCGACTTTCTTTTTATGTATACCAAATTATGATTGTACGAAAATATTATTGCCTTGTAGGAACGAATCAAGATATATTATAATACGGGAAATACAATTGTAGAATAATTGTTAAACAGAAATGATGCGACCTTGAAAATCTTACAATTTTTATCATCAACTGAATATATTTATTATTACGCGCGATTTATTATTAATTTTACATTGTGATAGCGTGGATCGGATAAGAAACGGAAAATTTTCATAATCCATACATTATTTCATAATGTACGTTTGAAAAATTTTGACAAAACTTCAAATTAAGTTAAAAGTAAAGAGATCATGGAAAAGTAGAATGTAGATTTTAGTAGTAGAATAGATTAACGTAAAATAGATTAAGATATAAAGCTTAAAAGAAGTGCGATACAATATATTTTAAAGCAAATTAGGAATAAAGCTTTTTTCAAGTAGGAAATAGAAATTTATAGTGTTTTCTTACACAATTTTTTTACATGTTCCATAGATTTTGTTTTACGTTTAACAAGTTTCATATAAATATCTCCATTAAAAATAACACAGATAAAGAAAATCACACAGGAATATGGACTAGATAAGCAGAGTAAAAGAAAACGGGTTTATAAAGAAATAGAAGAAATATATAGAGGACAGAAAATTTGTACTTAAGATACAATAGTAGAAGTAGGTAAAATTTGTAAATAGAGAAGCATTAGAAATGTAATAAACTTATAGAATTTTTGGAAGAAAATAGTAAAGTAAAATGAAAATTAAAATTAAAAGATGAGATGAAAAAGATAAATAAATAAAATAAGAAATTAGATGTAGAGGAGAGGGAAATGTTGAATAAAAGTGTGTTGACTAAGAATCATATAGAATCGCAATGTAAGCAAGAAAGTGAGTTGAAAACATAGAAGATAACAGGAAAAGAAGAAAAAATGAAAGACGTCGATAAAGTAAATTAAAAAAGTTAATAAGAATAACAGTATGATAAAGATAAACTTATTCTAATTTTGAAGATGGCTTTCTAAATGTAGTACATATTTAAAAATACGTAGTATGAAGAGAAAAATGCAAAAACTGTAGATGGAAATTAATAGAAACACTTGTATTATAAGAATAGTATTTAGAAGGGAAAATAGAAAGTAAAAAGTAGAAAAGGGTATGAGAGAAAAGAATAAGAAAATGATACATTGAAAATGCAAAATTTATTATGTCGTGCAGACAGATTTAAAGAATTGACTTTAGAATAGAATTTTTGAAAGTAAGTTTAGAATGAAGAAGAGAATTTTTAAAAAATAATATAAACTAAAGGTAGTGTAGATGGAAAAAAGAATATCGTAGATGTTGAAAAGAAAAGTGAGTAAGATAATGAAGCGAATGTAAATAATTTACATATATTTAATATAAGAAATAAGAACAGGATAAAATAATAGCGATACGTTTATAAAGAAAAGAAAAAAATAACTATGAAGAGTATAACAAAAAGAAGAAATTCAGATACAGTTGAAGTAATATACAAAGATAAAGAGAAACACTTATAAAGAAATTGAGAAAAGATGAAACATAGGTCAAGTAGATATCTAAAAATAGAAAAGCCTGATAAAAATAAGCAAGCGTAGATGTAATATCTGTGTCGATACAATTTTAAATTCATTGGAAAGTGAAAATTGTAATACTGGTAGGTAGAGTCTCGAGATGAAGAAATACGTTAGTGGGTATATTAAAAAGAAAATTTAAAAATTCTCGTGGATGGGAGGTAAAGCGAGTATAAAGATAAGAATGAAGATAGAAAAGAAAGATGTGCTAATAATATTGGAAATAAGACACAGAGACGGAAAGAGAGTAGAGAGAGAGAGAGTAGAGAGAGTGTAGAGAGAGTAGAGAGAGTGTAGAGAGAGTAGAGAGAGTAGAGAGAGAGTAGAGAGAGTGTAGAGAGAGAGAGTAGAGAGATAGTAGAGAGAGTACAGAGATAGTAGAGAGAGTAGAGAGAGAGAGAGAGAGAGAGAGTAGAGTGAGAAAGAGAGAGTAGAGTGAGAGAGAGAGAGAGAGAGTAGAGAGTAGAGAGTAGAGAGAGAGAATAGAGAGAAAGAGAGAGATTTATGTACAACAGTTAAAGAATAAATGAGAAAAAGTAAAAAAGGAGTATAAAGAACAGTTTGAAAAGAAGTATTACGCCGCTATTAATAAGTCGACCCTTTTCATTGAGTGTTAGAGAGCATGAACAAAAAATAATAAAATTTCAATCCTCGCATTAAATGGAAATAAAAACAATAACAATCAATAAAAACAATGGGAAAGAGAAGGGAAAGAAAGCCATTGAATTTTAATAACGACGTCGCCAGAAAGACAAAGGAGCTATCACAGTAAAAGTTTGCTCAGCTGCTTCTGTTTACAATTTCCCGCTCATTAATGGACGCCAAATTATCGCCGAAACCAAAAGCGAGTGATGTCAAGATCTCGCGGTTTCCGAAGGGAACAGCGCGCAGCGAACCGAGCGATTATTCCTTAGCGATGCGGTAGCCGCTGAAGGTGGTGCTGTCGTCGGGTTTGCCTGCATCTGCGAATAAGGCAACCTGGTGACCTACGGCCATCCGCAGCAGGACGATGTTAGAGCCACCGCCGAGACCTGTACTCGCCACCGGCTGCCAGCTGTCGGTTTTGCTTAATTTGCGCTTGAGGCTCAGCCGGAGTTCCTTGTCCCCGTAGCCGACGAAGCTGAACTGATAGAGACCCGGGCAGTAGGTGGTGAAGATTCCCGTGGATGCCACGTACCCGACGCCCTGGTCAAGCAACGTCTCCGGCAGTATTACCCGTCCTTCCTTAAACATAACAAACACTTTTAATATATCTATTCTCGAATTGTTATTCGAACATTTGGAGCTACATGAACATGAATGGTCTCATCATTTCGTGAATATTTGTTCCAGACTTTTCTTACTCATTCTTCATGGTATGAAATAATTTCAAAATAATTTCACGATTTCGTTTATTTTTATATTTTGGTGTGATATAATAATTCGACATACCTGGATATTAGCTCGAGTACCGGAAAAAGCAACAGGTTTTGAGCAATCCGAGGCTGTGGCTAATTTTTGTGAACCGTTCGTTGTTATGTTGTCTGGTGGAATGGGACTTGTCGCCTTCACCACGACATTCGCTGTTAATATAATTACGGCCCACACTAACCTGCAAACAACAGAGTGTTTCTAATTTATAGAAAATATTTTTTTCTCTCCTTTCGATGGTTTGATCGTTTATTCATTTATCTTTGCATTTAACGATGCTAAGATTTGGGAATATATTGAATATTCTAGGCATTATTTATTTATCTAATGTTATCAATTGAAATAGGGAGATAAATGATATATCCCAAAAAATATTTTGCTATTTTTCGACACGTTCGTAAATGTAATACTAATTTAATAATTGTTCAAAAATCCAAAATGCAAGTTAAATACGAATGGAGTGAGGTTTATGAGGTTTATTTGTTCTATCATTGTCCAAGTGTGAGTTGTGCTTTTGTTCGTCGAAATATACAAAAATTCTTCCATATATTGATGAAAGCTGAAGAAGCCGTAAAATAATTTTGAATATCTAGCATATGTTTAATATTATTATAGTGATTGTGATTAATGTAGATGAATGTTTCATCATTGAGCTATAATAAATCCTTAATGAATAATTTAAAAATTAAAAAAGTAATGGTATCTCTAGGAGGTGTTTTTATTTTACAAAAATCATAATAAAATTCATTTTTGTCCATGACTTTCACTACCTCATCAGTGCTTTTAGACTATAACAAGTTTATATTTATTAGTTACATATAACAAGTATATTATTTATTAGTTGCATTAAGCATACGACGTATTATATATTCAATACTTAAAAATAATTTTCGCTTATCTTACGATTTTAATTTGTTGATTTATTTTTTAATGTATAATTCGACTATTCTCCAAAAAGGTTATTACTTCGATTTCCAAGAGTTCAAATAATTGTACAATTATCATCAATTATCAATATTTAATCAAATCTTATTTTTTATTTTTGTTAGATGCAATTATTTATTATTAATTAATATAATTTATGACTGTTAATTAAAAGTTATTTCATATCGTGTTTGTATTTATATTATCTAAAAGCCTATGAGGTATTTTTCAGTGTATAGTTATTATATGTAATGATTAGTAATAAAAACTATTTATTAAAAATACAATTTATAATAGCAATAGAGTATTATTTTGAACTATTTAAATGTTGAGATCAATGATACAGAAAAGCATGAGTCACGTCATTCAGTAATTCTGTAGCTTCTTTAAATATTTTATTGTTGAATTAATATTAGAATATTTATTTGCTTTATGTACGAAGTGAATTAATATATGCAAATATTTTCTTACAACATTTTCTAAACTTCCATAAAATAACATTTAGTTGTTGTGAATTTTTAATCTTTCAACAATTCTCGTTTCGATGATTAATTTCACATTAATATGTAACAATAACTAGTAATAAGATGGAAAAAAAATCACTTAATAAAATTAATATCTAATGGAAAAACTAAATTGATCGTTCGATGTTAGCAAGTGCAATCTCTGGCGGCTGTATGTGTTCAAGCATGATTGTATTTTCTGATTAGGTCGTTCCGCTTTCTACATGGAGAGAAAGTACTTATCGATCCTTGGTTAACATTTTCTCTTTCT